TATCAGTGCCCAACATCCTTTTAGAAAGGTAGGAGGCAGTATTTTTTTTTTTTTTCAGTTTCAGCAGATTCGGCATCTTCCTCCCACCCCCTCCCCGACCACTTGCCTGCTGCAGTTTCAAATAGCACAGATAGAAAGCCCTAAAAATGTATACTTGTACATTTTTAAATGTCCCCTACTACACCGTAACCACCCCCTGTTTTCCAAATGCTGCCATTAGTGGTTACAATAATCATCTGTAATGTTAGCTTCTAAGAACCATGGTACAAGAGCTTCTTTTATAATTTCCCAGATGGGAAGGAACACATGTACAAGCCTGTTAGAGTTGCAGAAACTGGAAACAGCACTATGTGGATTTGTATTTTTGGAACTCTTTGGGCTTATTTAAGCTCTCAAAGTCAAACTTACATATCTATTAGGAATCAAATACCAACTCAGGGAAAACTCATGTGCCACAGCAAGGGGAATAAATCATATTAAAGTAGTTCATAAAAGGAACTCCTGGAAACAACTCTTTTCATATTCACACTGATGGTTCATGTACTCTTTGCAGGATGCCAGATAATAAATGATGGTTATATAAACCAGGGTCATTCCGTTTGTTTGGAGGACTGGCTCTGAGCATTTCTGTTCTTTGCTTAAATTGTGGTGTAATGGGAAGTTAAGAAGTAGGAAAGGGAGATAATTATAAATTATCCATAGGCATATGAAATGAAGCTCTTAATAAAAAAGGTTTTCAGTGGTCCCTAGTTTTTTGCAGTGTTGTTTTTTTTTTAAACAAGATTTTGTGACTTATAGTCAGAGCTTTGACCTTTCATAAGGAAACAGTCATTGGGGAAAGGTATCTGATAATCAATTCAATGTTAGATCTTTTTTTTATTGTCTCTCTTAAGGTGACAAACCTAACTCGAAAGAGGATTCCTTCTACACTTAGATCGTGAAATGAATTTGTCCCTCTGAGTGTGAATTTTTTCAAGCTCAGCTTCAACCTTAGTTTTAGATATTTTGTGAATTTTAGAGTCATATTATATAAGTACATTGTTTCTATTTGTTGAGACTGTAAGCATTTTTAAATTTTCCATCCTTATTTCACAGAAAGGAATATTCAAGATTGGATACTTTATCATCTGTAAAAGAGCAAGAAGTGATAGATAAACTCATTCTCCCAATCTTGGCTTTCCTTTTAAAACCACTGGTTCTGGGAGCCTTGGTGTATCATGAGGGACAGGAGGAAGGAGTCAGTACTGAGTTTCCAGACATCATTGGTGACAACGGCTTTTTTTTTTGTTTTAGTTTTCTTCAAAGCAACTTTTTTTTGTATATATATATATGTATTTTTTTTAAAGTATAGTTAGTTTATAATGTGTCAATTTCTGGTGTATAGAATAATGCTTCAGTCATACATGAACATACGTATATTCATTTTCATACTCCTTTTTACCAGAAGTTACTACGAGATATTGAATATAGTTCCCTGTGCTATAACAGTATGAACTTGTTGTTTATCTATTTTATATATATTACCTAGTATCTGCAAATCTTGAACTCCCAGTTTATCCCTTCCCACCCCTTTTCCCCCCAGTAATCGTAAGTTTGTTTTTCTATGTCTGTGAGTCTGTTTCTGTTTTGTAAATAAGTTCATCTTTTTTTTTTTTAGATTCCACATATAAGTGATATCATATGGTATTTTTCTTTCTCTTTCTGGCTTACTTCACTTAGAATGACAATCTCCAAGTCCAT